TAAAGACCCACAGTTCAGTCTCACCCCCAGCCGCTCCTGGAGCGCATGGAACCTCCAAGCCACTCTCACTCGGGTGGGGTACTTCAGCCTCCAACCATGCTAAGCAGGTCTCAAAGTCTCAGATCATTCTCCAGCCGGCGCCCATCCAACCAACTGAGCCAGCGCCCACGTCCCAAAGATGCGTCTTCTGCGCCCAAGGTGCTTGGGGTGCGGCCGCTTTCGTGAGCAGCTCCTCCAGGTCCTCGCGGCCCCCGCTCCGAAACGTCGGAGACGGAGCGCGACAGGACTCCGATGCTGACAGGGGTAGATCCTAACAAGCCAACCAGCCACAGGGCCCAAGCAGCAGATGCTCGCCATGTGGCGGTACCACGTGGGTGTGAGGGTTATGGTGGCATGCCACGTCCCTTGGGGGTAAGGGTCAAGAAACACAACTGACGTGGCAGCGTTTACCCTCTTGAGAAGTACTTCAACTTCGTCCGTCCCTTCGGGGCTTCATCATCTCCACATCACCAGCCCCCATGAATTCAACAAGCGACCAAAACCTGGCATCGGTTGATTGAACAGCGGCCCAGGGTTGAACTCTCTCTCGCTCTCCAATTCCGTCCCCAAAAAAGGAGCCACGGTCAGTAGGACCGGACGGAGGATTTGAACGCTTTTGGTCACCAAGCCTCCTCATCCTCTGGCACGGCTCAGGGGATACCTCCACCGGACCCCCCGCAGCTCGTCGCGGGTCATCCGCACCTCTTCGCCGTCCGAGGCGTCCTCCGCGTCGCCTGGCTCCGGGCTCCAGCACTTTAGTGCAATGCTTTTTGAGCAGAAGAAAACGAATCCAGCTGCCAGTTTGAGGAAAAGTGTCTTGCAGCAAAATGTTGGAGAAGGTTTTGAGAGCTTGATCTTCAACATTGAAATTACTATTGATCATTTATAGTCTACAATATGATTTAAGATATGTTACAGTAAGCAAATAGTATGTATATATATATAGGTATATTGCGCTGTATTTGGCAAACTATACGCCTATACGCGCATTCACCCATGGACTCGCCCCTCACCGCCTTGGCCCGCCAGCGCACGCAGCCGCCGCTGCTGCGTGGTGAGCGCGCGGAGCTCCTGGGCCCTGGGCTCTTGGTCCGTGCGCACACGTGCGCCGGGGTGGAGAGGCGTACAGACCATGCGCGAGCCTAGGGCCTAGAGGCCTCGGGGACTAGGGCGAGACTAAGACTTTCCTTTAACCTGCAGAACCAACAGGGTTTGAACCAACGGCATAGATGAGAGGGGCCATGTGCTGGAATGGAATCCCACTTCGCTGGGCAGGTCAAAACCTCCAAAATCCTGTGATTTTTTGATTGTTATATTTATCTTATTGTGACCTATTTTGACATCCTACTGGGCACTGGTGACCGGTGGATGTCTATGTTTCGAGCAACCCGCCCTCATCTAACCTTATGATGTACCTTACAGCCTAACTCTGAAATCGCAAGGATTCATAAAAAAGCAAAAAAAATGCAAAACCACACTCACAAAGGATGACCAGGAAATGCAAAAAATATGAATAAAAAAATCCAAAGAAAAGCAGCTGGTCAAAAAGAGTGCATATCAAAAAGCAAAAAAAATGCAAAAGGAAGCCAGAAAAAAAAAAAGCATAAAAAAAAGCAGAACAGCAGTTCAAAAAAAGCAAAAAAACATGCAAAAAAATGCACATGCACAACCAAATTTCACACACCACCTTTTTTGTGCGATTTTTTTGCATTTGTTTTTGCATTTGTTGTGCGATTGTGTGTCATTTTTTGCATTTTTTTTGTGTTTTTTGTGCGTTTTTTGCGATTTTTGAAAACGCACAAAAAATGCAAAACAATCGCAAATACAAAGTGTAAAAAAAGTGCAAAGGCAAAGACCAGAACGTTTTTGATCGCATTCGTTTTGCTTTTTGATTGCATTTGTTTGCATTTGTTGTGCATTTTTGTTGCATTTTTTGTGCCTTTTTTGTGCTTTTTTTTGCATTTTTTGTGTGTTTTTTGCATTGGTATAGTGGACAAATGCGGTTTTTCACAATTGTTTTGCATTTTTTTGCATTCCAAGGCATCCTTTGGTGACTTGTTTTTGCGTTTTCTGTGCATTTTTTTCGGGATTGGTTTTGCATTACTTTTGCATTGTTTATGCATTTTTTTGCTGTGTCATCAGAACTAGCTTTAGCATGCTTTAGCGTACATCATAAATCTAACCCCTCTCACGCACCCCTACTGGGCTCTGGAGCCCGCAAGTCACGGTGCAAAGATGTCGTGGGTCCCTTCCCTGTGTAACCCTGCAGACGCCTACACAGAGCCCAAAGTGAAGTGTCCGGCTGCGGACGCCTACACCCACACCGTCCATCTCTTAAAGGTCCGTAAGGTGATGGGTTTCCCGCAAATCCACACGCCTCACGAATGCCCAGAGCCTTTGCCGGCCCAAGACTGGTACGAGTAGGCGAATTGCCTAATGTACAAAGCTTTGTGTATGCCCGCTGTGGCGGTTTCCTCCATCAAAAGCCTTCTCATGCCGTGGCCCCTCAGCATGTTTCTGGTTCCCCTTTGCCAACCCACTCCCTCCGCGTTCCAGAACCGAAGCGGGGGTCGTCAAACACCATGGAGAGTTGCCACATTTTGTCAGGTCAGGAGCACGTCCCACATCCTTTTCTCGGGGACAAGGACGGCCATGGCCCTGGCCACTTCTGGGTTTATACTCTCTGGACTGATTTATTCTTACTTGGATGGCATGACCTTGGAGGACCATCAACAGGTGAACTCCACCAGTGGCGAGTGCCAAGCATCCGCTCTTTCCGCAGCGCCTCCTGGTCCAGCTCCAGAGTCTCGGCATCGCCGTGGAGCACATGGATGAAAACACCCCCAAACATCACCGGAGACCCACAAACCGTGAACCCTGACAACATCCAAAAAAGAACCAGAGATTGGGGCTGGCTTGAAGACTCTCGCTGCTCGGCCTTGAAAGCAAAGGACCGACGCAATTCCTGGTCTCCACCTCAAACCCCGCCGATCCAAAAGCAGTTTCAGCCGCGCTTGTGAAGCCTCGCGACCTGAAAACCGAAGCACCGAGCTCATGAAGGTTAAGCATGTTCCACCAGTTCTTCTCCCTCTCTCCACCTGTTCCTGTTTGCTGGAGAAACCCGCCCCATTGACCGAAAAAGATGTTGGAGGTGATGCACTGACTGCGTGGCCAGTGCAAGCCGTCCGCCGAACCAAACCGGAAGCGACTTCAGGCAACAGAGGTCGGTGGTGCACGCCTCCCAGTCGGCCACCTTCGCCTGCTTCAACTCCTTCCGCTGGGACATCCAGACCTCTACATCATCGTCCTCCACCAACTCACTGCCCTTGTCACGGAGCTTTGGGATGGGGCAAGGCACTGGAGCACATGGCAATTCAATGCAGCATCCGGTTCATCAACTTCAAAACTTCTGGCACCTCTCAACCTAGGGAAACCTATGGCGAACTCAGCTCTATCAACCTTTAATGTCTGGTACTTCCATGAACCACACAGTAGAACATAGTAAAACTGCCTGCCCAAATGGAACCGGGTGGCTTATCATCCTTCAGTCATATCCAAAGCACTGCTGCCAATTTAGGTAGACCTCCAAGTAACCCCCAGGTGTGGCTGCACATCCTTGAACTTATAGATTCTTCAAATTACCCTAGGCCCTAGGCCCTAGAAGTCACTGGAAAACCTCAGCAGAGCACAGTCACAGGGGCAAGCATCCCGATGTTCCACCAGCTGTCTGCACCGAAGTGACTTTGCATGGCACATGGTTCCATGTTCATTTCACAGACCGGACTCGACCAATGACCCATGATCTCTGCTTGGGAATTGCGAGGTAATGGTGGGGTCAGGTTTGGTACCATATGCCATCATCTACCTATTAGCATCCTAATGTCACACCCGGGCAGAGACCTTTTCCAGTCCATCACCGGCTCTCACCGCGCGCGTCCGGGCGACCCTCGCGTCGGCGCCTGGAGGAGCGCGGCCTTGCGCTGCGCCCGCTTGAGCTCCTCCGCGTCCATGGGCTGCCCCTCCTGCGACGCACGAGGGCCACCGGAGGCGGAACGTTCCGAAGGCAAGCAGCTGCGCGGCGCAAGCCGGGACGGCGCTGGGTCGGCAAGGCATCACGAAAGCCTTTTTGAAAGGAGTTTAGCACTGGCCCTCCCCATGCACCCCATCTTCAGAACCCTTCCACCCCGTTCCACCCGCCTCAAGGCCTGCCATGGCGTTGCGCCGGAGCCGCGCGCCCTCCTTGAAGAGGGCGGGTGCCTCGTCCAGCCTGGACTCCGCAGAGCCCGGAGGCAAAAGGTTGAAGCCCGGGCCAGCTGGGCCAGCTGGGTCACTCCCTGGAACTAACATGGAAGTGGAACAATGGCCCCCCTGGATCGACTCATCATTTTCTCTACAAAACAGGGAGTGAACTCCACTTCCATGTGAGTTCCATGCAGGGTATTCCTTTGATCGAAGCATGTCATAGCATATCTCTATAGTGCTCCTGCAAAGCAACTTGCCTGGAAACTAACCAGTGCATAACACAGCAAAAAACACTGCCAAAGGTGGACCACTTCTCCGACTTCGTTGATGCATAGAGAACCACATCAGGTTCCAGTGGAGGGCATTGACGAATCACGCAATACCAGCTCATGTCAACCAGCTGACTGATTGGTCGCTCGCAAATGACCTGCAAGATCCTGCAAGATGGATCCCCTGAAAGGTGAACAAAACCACCAAAAGCTGGCAGGCGGCTCGATCAGCTTGTACCTTTTGACCCTCCCACCCACCCTAGGCCCCACCAGTTAAGGTGGCCAAATGGCCTCTGAATGGGCTTAGCGGCGGTCAAATTCATGCACATAAGTCACATAAGGGCCATAAGGAGTCCAGGGTTTCGTATGAGCACCACTCACTTGCCTCCTCGACGTACCCATGTCCCACCCATGTCCCATGATGTCCCATCCATCCCGATCAGCATTTCTTCACTGGCACCCGGACTGTGGTGGTACCGTCACGCGGCCATCGTCGAACTTGGAGGGTGTCGTCACCGGCAGGTCCTCTTCCTCGTCCGACTCCTCCCAAGCGGCGCGAGAAGGGCAGATCGACTCTTCCACGCGCCCAACGCCCCACGCCCAACGCATCCGGAGGCTTTTCCGCTTTTGGACCCCCAGTGATTCTGACCACCTCGGCGTTGCACCGAGGATTCGGCAGCCAACGAACACCTCCGGGAGGCTTGTCCCCACTCCCGACACCCCCGGCCACCACCGGCGCACAAGATCGGACGGCTCCGTTGAGGGAACGGCACCCAGGTGGGGATCCAGTGAGAACCATCCGATGAAACCGGTGTTTTTTGGACTTACTCTTACATCTCTTACTCTGGCGATTCACAAAGTTGGTGGTGGTTGGTCGGAGCAGCCATGCGCAGCCCGTCTCTTGAGCAAACAGCGTCAACGGTCCCAATACTGTAACAACTTTTATTTAGCAGTGCTGCAGCAGTGTTCCACTCCTCTTCCTTCTCCTCCTGCTCCGAATCGGAATCCTGCGGCTCACGATTTAAGGTGCGAGGATGTTGGAGGAAAAATATTGGCTTCAGCAGACTCCGCCTGCAGCTGCTAGCTGCCGAAATGTGTGACCCGATATCATCATTCTCTCTGTGAAGAAGGGTTTGGGGCAGGCCAACTGCTGGCGTTTACCTTTACAACATCTGTTCTTGGACCGTCCTTCAACCAAAGTTGGCGGTTTTCGGTGTGGGAAAATCCACTCAGGGTCCCCACGTTTTGGTCGAACGGAGAAGGATGCCGCAGATCTGTCTGAAATACTGTCCTTGGTGCATTGCTTGGCTTTCGCGTGGACAGTCACAAGAGTGGCTTTAGAGCTTGCAACTTTGTATTTCATCTCCTACATTGGCTTCCCCACTTTGCTGGAGGGGCCTTTGCAGGAACTGCATGTACTAACCTCCCCCTCGAACGCCAACGCGAATCTTCTCCGCGGCCGCGGAGAACGGTCGTCCTTGCTCTCCAAGTCCTCGTCCTGGTGATGTGGTTTTCAGCTTAGGTGCTTGGGCTTAATGACCTGAACGTCCCAAAATGGTGCAAGGGAAAGTTTTTGCGGGAGAGGCGGTGAGACGTTCTTCTTGATTCATGCCAAGGTCTATTAGGGGATGATAGTAACTTGATCAAAGGGGAGAAGCCTGTCTTGGGCGTCCTGGCTATTTGGAACAAGTCCCCGCAACTAGAGCTGGAAGAAGAAACATGGAGAAGGGTCACTGCGAACAAGAAACCTGGCAGCAACAACTATTAAACTACTTGCGACACAACCAAACCGACGCGAACAGCACAAACAGCCCAGCATAGCCCAGCCCTCCAGCCCTCCTCCTCATCTCCGAGACCGCCCTCGCGCTGGGAGCTGGAGAAGCCCGGCAAGCCAAACGCTTCGATCATCTCCGGCTCAAAGCCCAACTCCAAAAGCACCTCAAGAGCCCCCACAGCCACTAACTACCCCCCTCGCTGGCAGTGAGCGGCATGGTTTGGGGCATCCCACTTCATCCCTCATCTCCCATGATGCTCCCACCTGCAATTTACACTCTAGACGTGTCCCATCTGCCCTTGAACCCCTCCGGGCCCCTCTCCCCTTTTCACCACTTCGATCTTCAAGAGTCTGATTCAGGGGCTTGCAGCGCAACTCCATCCACTGCAATGGTCTTAGACTCATAGGCCTGGCGCAACTCGTACTGAGATCTCTTGCCTTCGCCTGAACCTTGGATAGCTTTCGTCCTTGCTACTGCCGACTGCACACATAGCAGCATAGCATTCCAACGTCTGTCTTGCAAGCCCGCCCCTACAAAAGCACCCCCCACGTAGAATGCAATCGATTTTGCACACTGGCTGGAGGCCCCTGTTGAAGCCACCGGTGCTTAGTCCTGCTTCGTAAGGAGCTGGATCCTGAGGAATCTACCCATTTACCCTACGAGTCGCACCCAGTCAAATTGAAAAAGATTAAACAAGCATACAGTATATCATCAATGATCATCAGCATAGACCCCAAACAGATCTTGAAGAAAGAACCCCAACGCACCGAACCGCCGACGCCACCGCGCCTCCTTCATCCGCCGGAAGCGCTCCATGGCCACCCGGCGCTGCTCCTGGCGCTCCTCACTAGGCGCTTCACGGCCGCCTCGATCAACGGCAATGACTCGGCTCGGCGTAGCGAGCCGAGGCGGCGGCTTTGGTGGGGATTGAATCGCAAGGCTGAGTGTTGCCATAGCATGTCATAGCAACATCTAGCAACTAGCAGCTGGCGGAAATGTCAAAGATGAGAGCTATGGCCTGGACTTGGGGGGCGTGGGTTTGGTGGTTTCAGATGGTTTCATGACAATGGTTGGATTGTTGGGTGGGCTGTGGTTCGGTAAGTTGTTTTCCATCATGAAGTGAGCTACAGGAGACTCTGCAGGAGACTCTGCGCTGATCTTGTCCTCCCAAACTCGGACGCCCCCGGCTGTTCAGCTGCTTGAAAGGTTCGGCTCACAGCTGTCACACAGAGTCAGTTCTCCGAAGTGTTTCGGCAAACAGAAGACAAAGATGTTCGTCCTCTTGGGGCCCTTGAAGTCAAGTCTTCCTCTGATCTCTTTCAAGAACGCCTGACGCCTGGCCAACGTTGGCGAAGACCCATCCCTTGCTGGATCCGGCCGTTTCCGCGCGTGCGCCGCGCGGACGCGTTCCCGCGCCAACGCGGTCGAGGGGCCGGGGGTCTTGGCCGAAGCCTCCAGGGTGGCCTGGACCTTGCGCATCTGATCCAGTTCTCTCTCACGCGCCTTCCTGAGCCCCGCAAGACAAGGCCACGCGGTACCGAACGGGACGAATCTTCGGGACCGAGGGTGGCCAGTTGGGATGGGTTGAGAGGTTGGAGGAAGTGGTAAGTAGAGGGGCACCTCTTTGATTGAAGGGTGAGGACTTGTGTGGGCCATCTAATTCTGATGCTAGCCTCTTGACAAGCACCTAGTCTCCTCCTCCTCCTCCTCCTCCTCATCATCATCATCATCATCGGGCGTCGAGGCAGGGGATTACATCTTGGATTTTGAAATGCACCCTGACTCACATGGAAGTGGAACATGGTCCCTTGGAAGACTACTTTCCTTTGGGAACAGAGGGTGTTCCACTTCCATGTTAGCGAGTCCGACTGTATATTGGATGGTCGAGCCCACCTCGACCCTTCGGCTGCAAGGAACCACGCCCCGAATCAGGTCCACAGATCTGCAGATGACCAGCTCGGGCATGTCATGTCAGGCAAGTTGAAGGCTTTAGTGCAGACCCATGTTTAAAGTAAAAGACATTTGGCTTGTAAAACCTCTTCGTCTGGGCGGTTTTGTTATCAAGGGTCTCTACATTCGGTCGAAATGGAGTGACGGCGACTCCTTCACTTCTACGAGCAGTAGTCACGTCACACAAACAAGGGGGAGGCCAGAAACATGGAGAAACAACTGCATGGACATGGATTTAAGCAAAGAAACCACTCCGTTCGCCACCTCGTTCCCACTCCGTTCGTGCTACATCCGTTGCTCCATCCGTTGCACTGAGCATCTGCTCCCGGTGCTGCACCTTGTGCCACTGGCCCCACTCATCGGTCGTCATGGCGCCCGCCTGCACGGAGGCCTCCAGCGCCTTCACCTGGAACGTCCAGGAACGTGCCCGGACCGTCGCTCGCAGCGTGCTGCTGAAGCGACGAGTAGCAATGCACGAAGTCGACAAGTAGCTTCTTGCTCCCGGACTTGACGAAGTAAACACCAATCACCAACCTGGAACCAGTGGTGGATTATGACACCATTCAGCTGGAACCTGGATTATGACTCATTTCACTCCATCTGGTAGTCATAATCCCTCACTGCCAGTTCGAGGTAAAATGAGTCGTGACTGGACTCTCAGGGGAAGAAGTGTGCGGGTGAGGGAAGCTTTATTTTGGAGAAGGGATACCATCGACCGAATGGTTTCACCATGGTGAAACACCATGCTTTCACCTGCATCCTTGGCAGTGGAAAACCACGGAATGGAACCAGAAAAGGGGTCGCGGACGGTCGAGGCTGAGGTCGACCAGCTTGATTGAGCTTGCCTCCTGTTGACATCGAACCAAGTTTCGCCGAGGGAACGAAGGCCCTTCCTAGTTCAAGGAGAGCGGACTGCTAGCTATTGTGCAACTCAGCCGTTGCCTCCAACCTGTCGCCGCAGGATATCAAAAAAACAGCAGTTCCAGCATTTCATGCAACATGTTGGCCAATGTTGGCCATGGGCAGCTTGGCCCCCGCCTCTTGCTTCATGCGAAGGACCTTGTCAAGTCGCTTGCTTCGCTTGGCATCCATCCCTGACCGGCTTCGTTGGGCCGTCGACGGTGAGTGGACCGGGGGCACCCGTCACGGCATGCCGTGGGGCACGGTATACAGCAAGTTGACCAGTCTGGACGAGAGGGGTGATTAATGACCTCACATAGCGTGCCCACATCACGAGACCATGTGCAACATCACGAGACCCACAGACCGCGCATCATCCAGAGCACCTCTGACCGTATTGGACCGTGTAAGGCCTCTCATATGGTGCGTGTGGGGGGGGGGGTTGAGAACCTTGTGCAACGACGCGCAGCATGCCTTCAAACGTCACGTCCCAAAGCTACACACACAAGCGTCCAGGAACCCCACAAGCATCACCGCCCTTCACTTGTTGTCCATCCTGATCGACCCCACCATCGTCCATTAATCGGGCTCTCTGTTGCTTGGCTATGCTTGGCTTCTCCACCCACAAGGCATCACAAAGCTACACTCAGCGGCCAATGAAGCTACAGCTCGGTGGCTATATACTAGCTTGATGTTGACAGTTGGGTTGACAGCATGGACCTGAGGGTGCCGCACCAAAAAAAAAAAAGGTCCCCTAAGCGCCGAGTTCGATCTTTGCCGGTGACGGAGGGGCCTTCTTTGACTACGCGTTCCAGACTCGGCGCCACGGAGCGAAAACCACCCGAGCTCTCGGTGGCTTTCGCCAGGTCAGCCCCGTCCCGTGAAGCACACGTGTCACCGGGTCTCCGCGGTCCACGGTGACGGCCGGTAGAAGCTGTGCACCTGCTCTGCTCCGCGACGTGAACGTGCGGAACGAGTTCGGGACGGAAGGGGAGGTCTCCTCAGTGAAAAACCCCTTGGAAGAACGGAACATCGACCAGTCTGCCCAATGGCCGATCGGCCGATCGGGGTGTCTCCCGCATGTGCCATGCACACCCAATGGACCTCTCTTCGCCAAACCCCCCACTCTCTTTCATATCTTTCATCTCTCCGGCCACCCAAAGGAAACCAACCCGCCGAGCCGCGCTCCGGCGCGTTGATCCTCAGGGCATTGAGGCAACTGGGCCGCGCACAGATCGGACCTCGTGGGGTGCCGGAGGCGAGGTGCTGCTCGCACTGCTCGCGTGGCGCGGGTTTTACAAAGAGAGTGACATGCACTTTAGATTCCCACAGCTCCATGTGCTTTAACAACCTGAAATGCTGCACGCACCCTTTGACCACTCCCTGAATTGAAGGGGGCCCACCATACTCCCCAACTCCCCAACCGCGCTGCTTTTCCTCCGATCCCGGTGTCACGTCCGAAGCCGGCGACCGACACAGCTCGGAGACGTGCTGAAAAAGGGAAGACCCTCGGAAAAAGACCTTCCTGGACCATCAAAGATGTGTATGGATCGAACTGTTTGCCATGAGGTCAAACCTAAGATGCGGGAGAATCTGATGGTTTGATGTTGAACTGACGTGCTTGGCTCCTGCCATGTGTAGCGCCCTTGGTAGTCCAAATTGCCGCACCTGGTGCTTGCTCTTCGACACATTCAGATCTTCCCATACCACCACCCCTAACCACGTCCAAGGCACACAGCACGCAAAGACACAATAGCCCACAAATGCCTCGCACGAACTCGTGACTCGCGACGGACTTGAGCCAGTCACCGTGAGCTCTGCGGCTGAGACCATGCGCCACTATGTGCCACTTGGAGTCAGATCCAACCTATGACTCCAAGGTTTTCCACGGATCTTTAGCTACTCCAGCATGGACCCCAATCCCCCGTTGGCAGAAAGATGGAGCGCCCGAACTGTCCCGAGCAGACTCACCGAGAAACGAGAGGGTTTCCTCCCGATGAGACGCAGACTGCGCAGACTCTTGATACTTAATGCAGAGTCTTGAGTGATCAAACCTGCTTATGAACAGGTTTTACAATCCAAACGAGGGGTATGGCACATTCGGGGTAATGATCTTGCACGCGCGACGGATGATATAGATTTTTCACCGCTTTGTCAGGAAGTGCGCCAGCATTACCAAGACAATAAGAATGCCTTCCCTAAGATTTATCATTACCTTCTCGACCTGGCACATGCGCGCATGGTTAAGCTTGATGACCTGAAGAAAACTCCGGCCTTGCATGATCCTGGGGGGCCACTTTCAGCCTCCAAGGCAGATGTGTTCCAAACTCAAATTAACAAATTACAGACATGGCAGCTCGGTCCAAGTGATGCGGAACCGCATCCGGTTGTTGGTCCAAGTGTTGCACAGGGGGCACTCTTCTGACGTGGCCGGACCCATCTCCAGGCGATCCAGTTCTCTGCTTTGGGCCAACCGCCTGCTGCCGGTCCGTCTTAAGGAAGGAAAAAAACAAATAGCATTACTGTACACTGTAGACTACACAGAATGCCGGTCCGTCCAACTCTGACCCCTTTAAAGCCCGGTCACTGGTGCTGGCAGAAAATGGTTCGTTGGATCGTTAAGCATAATATTCAGACTATCTGGCGGTCCAAGATTCTGCCGGTTTACCAAAACCAGGGATCTTCGAGCCTTACTAGCTTGGGCTTTACGCGTATACCAAAACCGGGAGGCCGGAGGCCTCGTCGACCTGATGTTTTGCCGAATGGACGATGCCAGGCGTATACCTACATTCATCAAATGCGTTTAACGACGATGCCAAATGATCCGCCAATAGAAACACCGAAATAGAAACACCGCCACTCCCGGACAACCTATCGACCCCGGGGCCCAATTTGCCCGAGGTTGATCCGAGGGATCACGCCGTTATCCAACATGTTCGGTACGCTTTGTTCCGCCACAAGAACTTTGATACCATACAACACCCGAGTACCCCCTGAATTAGATGCAATACCTGTGCGTGAAACGTACCGAATATGTGTATTTGGACTCCATGATCAGCCATCCAGTTTCTTACTTCTTTGTGTTTGTGCTTTTGAGATCCGGTGGATGATCTCCGTTCGGTCTCACCTATTTCGTTGATGGTGTATATATATTTTTTTTTTTGGTATATAGATGTCACTGGATCACACAGGTGTCTGCGTTCTTTCTCACAGACTATCTCCACCAACACCCGTCATACAACATGACAAGGGTATGTGTGGATGCGTACCTGCCCGCAAGTGAGTGCATCCAAACGGGGGGTAGTTCATTAAGAGTCTACATGAATTACTGCACAGCAATACCAACCCTTCAAGCCGCTGCTGCCGAGGCACCAACGCCCACGCAAATCAACACCAAGATGGGCAAGCTCATCCCGAAGCGATCCTCAAAAGCCTGGAGGGCTTGACGATGCTGGGCGTGGAGCTCTTAGGTCCTAAAACCTGCTCTTCGCTCTTCCCTCGCAACTTCCCAATGACCAGCACTCGATTGGTTGGGGCAACTTGATGCTTTCGGGAAGATGTGTCGGGAAGGGTCAGCCTCATCAACTGCATCCAGTGACTTGCCCTGTTCAACAGGGCAAGTGTAGATGCATGAGGTGGATGAGGATTGGGAGGTGGCCACCATGGCTGTCCTGCTTCATGCTTTCAGGTCGGCCATTCTTGACTCACAAAGTTACAGGATCCCAGGTGGCCACTGGCCGGATAGAGCCGCCCCGCTCAGTACATTGATGCACCGCTGAATTGATCGAGTCCTTTTGGCTGGTGCAAAGACATGGACAGGTGGTCCAGAAGCGGGTGACCGACCATTTGGCTAGAGAAGGTCCTTGGATCCTCTTGGATCTGTGTTTGAGCTAGCACCATGATTCACAGGGTGCCATCTAGGGCAAAGGACATTTGGCCTCAACTCAGGGGTCAAACAGCCTGTTACTGTGTGTTACTGCAATCTTCTGACTGGTTGACCAGGTTGCTTTTCGACCGAACCGTCCCGGTGGCCACACGGGCGACCTCCGGAGTTCGACACCCACCGGCACACCTCGGCATCGACGTCCACGGACTCCGCGGCGCGCGGCCTGGGCCGAGTGCGGAGAGCGAGAGACCATCCATCGCTTCCAGGCGACCTCGTCAGACGATGAAGCGAGTAGAACTGCTCAAAGCCTGGTGGGAAAACCACAGAACATCCAAGCCTTGCGTAAACGGTTCTTTTCCCGGCGAGGCAGTCGAGTCATCGAGGCACCCTTGTAACTACCCTCAGTAACTTCAGAGCGCTGGCTCTTCTTCTTAACGTCACTGTGTGAACACACAAGGGCAAACTATGTGGTAGGGCTCATCATCTTTTGGGGAGGGTGCACGTCTGGGGGGATATGCAAGTCTCCATTCGCTCCGCTGCTTGCTCCCTCTCTCTCTCTCCTTCTCTCTCTTCTTTCGATGGGCTTCTGCATCGCCATGTGTGTCAGAGACGGGGCCCGCGCATTCACACTCAGAAACATGGAATTGGACACCACCTCCAAGAATTGGTCATAGATTCATAGATTCAAATGGTTCAATGGTTTCCCACCTCTCCCTTGTTCTCCCCTTCGCTCCTTCGCTCTCTCTCTCTCTCTCTCTCTGTCGCTTTCTGTCTGTCTCAATCCCTTCACCAAAGTGACACAACAGCAGTTGTCCAACAGAAAGTGAAAAAGTGACGGATCAAAGTTCAAGACGTCGCAACTACCCAACAGTTGATGAGAATTGGCCAATTCTTGGGTGTGTGGCGAACAAGCAGGGGGGAGGATGGACATTTCTTCAGTGCTTCAGCGAAAAACCACTGGACCAATCGAAACTGCTGATACGTACTTAGTTTGACTCGTGCAACTAGGCCCACAAAGACAACAAACATCCTCAAAGTGTCCTTGGTTTCTGCACTGTGCCAGTGTCACAGAGCACTCCACACTTACTATAAAATTGAACCACAATGCAAAAAATGAAGGAAGGTACTACCCTCGCACAAACTCACATAGACCCCACCTAGGAAGCAAGAGCATCCGCCGTTCGATGTCTGCTTCTTTTTGCTGGGGGGGGGGGAAGTCCAGCCATCAAATAATGAAAAGCCTTGAGACCTGCTGGTGGTCTCGGAGAAGGGCAACTTGAAGATGAAGGCTTCACCAAAGTTGTCAATCTCCCACCTCAATGGGGGGAAGAGGAAAGGGAGAAAGGCCGCCATCTGCTATCACGCTGCTGCACGCTGAACATCGGAGATCCGGTGCAGTAACCTGTAGAGGTAGGAGCTTGAACCTCCTTTACGCCTGCTTAGATCCGGTCAACCAATCACACCTCTCGTGGGTGGTATTTAAAGGGTGGCACCAGTCGATCCCAAAGTGTTGGGAAGTGTTCAACCCTCGGCAGAACCCGGGAGGCTCTGGCGATCACGAGGGTTCCACGGACCGAACGGGACTCCTCTGTGCAGGACCAATGCCCTCTGCGCGGACTCTGTCTCGGCCCGACGAACGCTGGAAAAACCCATCGCTGAGATCGCTGCAGTGGAGGCTTCACAATGTCCGCGACTGTCTCCCAGGCCCTTCCATTCCAACTCCTCAGCGGAGTGATGTACCACCAGCCACTATGTAAAGTCACCTCCCTGCACCAAAAATGGACACAAACACGCGCTGGCTGTGAAAACACCCGCAGGGCATGCAAATCGGACATGCTGACATGCTTCTCATAGAGTGCCTGGAGGAACAGGCGAGATGCGGAAACCGTCAAATCAACGGCTATTTTCGGGGTGTTTCAGCATACATCGTATGGTTCGACAAAGTCTTGCACCGCTGACAGGGACCTGATCCTGTGCAAATCGGCCCATGCGCCGAACGGTGTCCATAATCATGCCGCCCTTGCCATGAACAGTGCGCCACAGCATTTCTTCCACGCACCCCCCCGTCGACCAGCATTCCGTCCAGTGCCGACTCAGATCCCACGTCGAACAAAGGAGAGTCCTGCAGGTCCCACGGCGTCACCGTGGTGGACTCCACACCCGGTCCAGCCCCCGACCTACCGCCCGGACGAGTCTGCCAACCCCCGGACCCCCCGCCCGGACCCGCGCCGCAGCCGCGCCACTGCAGCCGCCAGGTGGTCGCCACCTTCGAAGCTGCGGGCACCTCGCCGCGCGTCGGCGCCGTCTGCAGGAGCTCTAAGCAACGGACCTGATAGCCGTGGACGATGCTGTGAGGATCGAGGAGGATGGAGGAGGAGGGTGTGAGGATGGGGAAGGCCCTACTACCCAGGAGGAAGGCCTCGACCCAAACCATCACTCACCTACAGAGGTTAAGTGACCTTATAGGACCCTACAGGGGTACCTATAGGATAGTCTATAGGGTTCTTCAACCTCTGCTGGCAACAGTGGAATCTGGTCTACAGATGTCTACAGTATATATTTGGTCTTGCAGGAAGGGGCAGGAGACATCTTCTCACGAAGCCAAACGACCTCCAAACGACCCGGTGAAACCCCCATCTCCGCTCATCTCAACCAGAAAGCACCTCAATGGCCGTGTCGCTTTTGCAGCCGAGCCAGGCCACCTCTTCCCTGCAGCATGGTCTGAGATGGAGACTCCCACGACACAGGTTCAGGTGTCCGAGCTCCCTACTGCGTATCAGGTTGACTGCAATGATGTCCTTTTGGGATGTGGAAATGATAAGGCGAGCTTTGATTTGGTATAATAATAACTGACATGGCCAGGAGAAGAGTCTGCAGTAAAAAGCTGCGGTCCTGAAAACAAGTTTCCCTCCAACTCTTTTGCAAATAAAGGAGCTCCCAAAGGTCCCCTGCTTCAGCTTTGAAAGACTTTTTGAGGCTTGGATCCACGATATCACCCAGTCGATGCTCCCCAAACGTCGCCATCGCCGAGGCGACGCGGAGTGTTTTGGAATCGCTGAGGCGACGAAAGAGAATGAACAGGTGAAACAATTGAGCATCGGGCTGCTGGGCTTGCAGCCTATGCAACTTAAACACCTTTAAATGAACACCCTTCCGTTGGACTTGTCAAGTTTGATGAAAATTCCTCCCCGGTTGGCCTGTTAAGCTGTCAAAACCAGCAGCCTCTGGCTGTTGCTTGCACCGGGGGCATGTTATGATCTTGGAAATAAACCACTTCGTGACACATGGTTTGTGAAAGTGGTGACCACAACTTAGCTTTATGACTTCAGATCGCTCATCCATCTCGTCCAAGCAAATGGAGCATTGGCCCAATTGGCCCAGGCCGCATTGGCCATCTGTCATCTTGACCTCTTGCAGAAGTGGAGCCACTGCTTTCTCGGCCAAGATCCACTCTCTCTCCCTGCGAGCCACCGCACGATAGCTCGATCGCTGGGACAGCGTCGGTGAAGAGAGCTTCATCCTCGGTAGGGGCTCTAGGACTCACGTGCGTCTCCCGGTAAGCACCGTGTCACCCCGCGCGAAGTGCGCAGGTAAGACCGCCCCCCAAACAGTTGGAATCACACCCACAAGCAGTATTCAACAAGCCCTCCGTCTACCGAAGAGTCTACTATGATGCGTATATATATATATATGTGTGTGTGTATATAAAAGAGATCCCTCTCTCTCTCTGAATCTCGCCGGACCAAGGATCTCCAGTCTGGTGGCTGAGCGCAGTTGGTTCCAAATCTCTTCTTTTTCCCGCTGGCCATTCACAGCCACAATTGCCTGGACTTCATATACAATCCGCCACCCACTGTGCCCCTTCACCTACGGACTGCCTTCTAGAAAAACACCGCAGAAATGACTACTCCTGGTTCTTCCACTGTTGCACGGCATCAAAAGTGGTCTCTGTTGCCAGTGCAAAACGCTTCTCTCTCTGAGCTGTAGTGGCTTTTGGACTTCAAAGGATGTCCAAGACTGCCCAGAAGCCGTGACGGCTGAAGTGCCGGTGACCCTGAAACAGATGCAAAAAAGCTGTGGTACTGCGCGTTCACCAAGAAAGGACTTTCTGAACGCAACCCCAAGACATGTGTGCCCCCTCCTGGCAGTGAGATGCGTGAAAAAGATGGACTCTCAAAGGGGGGCAACCATCTCCCCCGCTGATGGATCCTAAGCCCGTTTACCTGTTCTTTGGTGTCTTCCATGCATCTCAAGAAGTCACATCCTCCAGAACTACATATATATATATATATATAGCTCGTCCATCCCGCAGACCGACCGCTCGTCCATCCGCCTGTGGATAGATCCGATGCTCCGGAGCGATCGCGGTGCCATGAAACATCGGCGACTCCTTGGTGATGCGATCGCCGATCTGGACACATGGCTTCCGATCGCGAGAATGTCTCCGGCACGGAGCAGCGAAGCGTCGAAAAGCAGGGACCAAGTACGTGATCTAGATTCCGACCAGGACCGACACCAAGAGGTGCCGATAAATAGCCTCTTAGTGGTTAAGGGGTATCCAAAAACCAAGGTCCTGGTAGTTGGATCCTGGATTTGTTTTGACACAATCCTCGTCATTGGAACGGCCCAACCCGTCTGTCAGTTCTTTCCAAGAAGCTTTCACAGCCTGGATGAAGAGTTGGTACTGGTGATGTGGAGACACCCGCTTTCCTCCGTGGAAATCCTCTGCAGTCAACATCGAAGTGCTTTTCCAGCACCAGGTTTTGGCTGAAGGAAGGGCACAAGGAGCGTCTGGCCATTGCCCAATGGCCAAAACCCACACAGTGGGCTCTGAATGGCAACACCCGGGTGTGGGGCCGTGTTTGACTTGTGGTGAGGCCAAGGCCAAACTCTGCTGCCAGGTCAATACAAATTCGGATGGATCCATTCAATCTGTCGCAACTAGTGGGAAGTCAACAGTAAGAACATTAAAATCCCTTTAGTTCAGGAAAGCACTGCGGAAAATGCACAAACATGTTTAAAGACTCAAATGTTTGAAGCCGAAATGCCAATTCCAGGTAGTGACCGGCGGAATTCCGTGCAACAGCTGACAGCTGATTGAAGTGTGAGGAACAATAGTGATGTTGGATCTGTCATGTCAGCAAATTCTGTGATAGTGGGGTCCCTGCTCACAAACGCCACAGCAATTCACTGATGAGTTGCTCGTCTGTTGGGCTGCTGCTTTCACTTGCGGGAGTGTCAGAGTGCTGTCCCTGCGTCTCTCCGGAGGAGGGCGCTGGCTTGACCAGCTTCACCTGCCCCAAAAAGTTCCGGGAAAGTGTCCACGCTGTTTTATCTAAAAATGCTGCTTTATCTGTTACATATAATATATTATATACAAATATATATATATATATGTGTGTGTGTGTGTGTCCTGTTGCACGTTAAAAGCTGCAGTCTCCAATACTAATTGCTCGTGCTGCCACTACTACTTCTACTGCTCTTTACTCCTCCTACTCTGGCTCCTACTCTTGCTCCTGCTCCTACTCCTGATACTCCTGATACTCCAACAGCT